CTTCTAAGAGTGGGGGGTGAGGGCTTCTGAGGGGGGGGGTTCCCACACCTTCTTCGTCAGCTGGTGGTGGTGGTGAAGGGATGCCGTGGGTGGGTGGGCGGGCGGTCGGTCACAAAACTGCCAAGCCTCCCCCCCCCCCACTCCGGAGAGACAGTGATTACCGCAAAGCGTCCGCGCGTCTTTCTCTCCCGCAACCCGCCGAGCCCCGAGGAGTGGCTGCTGCAGCTGACAAAGTGCAAGGCAAAAAGCAGGGCGCGAGGAGCATTATCTGCTCCAGCTGCGGTCCGAATGAAGCTGTCCCCGCCCACTCATGCAAATGAAGGGGGTCTTAAAAGAGCGCCGCGCCTCCCCGCCAGGAGTCCAGAGCGCGAAGCGAAAGTGAAAGAGCTTCACTTTCTCCTGCTCCAGCCAAGCGCAGCCCAGCCGGGCTACGGGAGTTGTTTGTTTGTTTGTTTGTTTGCAGTGTGTGTGTTGGTGTGTTTTTGCACCTCTGGAGCCTGGCCTGGCTGCGTGGGCGGCTGGAGCAGCATTTGCCAGTCATAAGACGCGGAGCAAAGAGGCACATCGGCACTTCCTGAAAGTCGCTCCGCTCGGGCAGCGCTGCCAAAGGGGCCCTTCCACGGAGTGACGATGCTACCCACGCGGCCCGCGAGGGGTTTGGTGGGACGGGAGGGGTTTACGGGGGTCTTGCTGCTTCTCCTGCTGCTCCTGGGTGCCGGACGCGGAGAAGCCGACGGTACCAAGAGAGCCAACATCGTCCTCATCCTGACCGACGACCAGGATCTGGTGCTGGGGGGAATGGTAAGCCTCGGAGCTCGTAGTTGCGCCCCCCCGGACGCAACGTGGAAGCGTCTCCTACTCAAACGCCCAGCCGAAATCTACCTGCTGGCTGCGGTGGGCGTTGTTCTGGGAAGGGACGTAGATACGGAACAGCTGCCCAGGAAGGTGGGGGACGGAGTTCCTACTGTTACTACCGAGTGTAAATTCCTCTGGGGAACGGGATTCAGAGATAAGCCTGAAGAAGATTCTTGCACCTTAGTCCAGGAAAGGGTGAGAAAGTGACTCTAGATGGCCCTGCGTTCATTTTCTTCCTGCAAAAGTTTCCAACCTTGGCCACTTTTTAAGACTTGTCGACTTCAACAATTCCTCAGTCAGAAGTGGAAGTTGAAATGCAACAAGTCTTGAAAGTTAACTGATTAACCAAGTTGGAAGAGACCTTGGAGGGCATGTAGTCCAACCCACCCCACCCCCACATTGCTCACGCAGGAGAGCCTACACCAGTTGCAAGGTTGGAGATTCCTGCTCTTGTATATAACGGGTGGAGGCAACATTCACACGCCTTTGGAAAATTTGGTATTTCATCACACAATGATAACATTCTAGCATTTACTGTTCTTGCAGAGTGTTTCTTAACCGGCCTACCTTCTAACTTTGCAAAGAACAATGTTAAGAGTTAGAAACAGAACCGTCCTTAAAAACCTGCCCCCCCCCACAGCACAGAAACTCTGAAGAAATAGCCTACTACCGGTGCAAATAAATAATATTAATCAGCACTTGCCTGTCAATGTTATTTAAAAGTAATAAATTGTTAATGTTCATTACCTTATATTAGTGTTTGTAATATCTAATGGGGAGGGGCAATTTAAGGAGAACTTGCTCACTGCTCAGCGTGTAGGAGAGAGGCTCCCAATCAAATGCATATAAACCATTTATTATTTAATAGTTTGAATGTTAATAAATATAGGAAGAACCTGAACAGGACAATAGAAAGATTAAGTGAGGTGATGCAATTGGACTTGGAAAGAGTAAATAATGAATGAATGAACTCTGCAAATTAACATATATTGGTGGCCAAAGTATTTGAGTTTCCTCTTCAGGATCTGGACTTCTAAAGAGCGGTCAGGGTTGATCTCTAGGATTGACCGGTTGGATGGCCTTGCAGTCCAAGGGACTCGCAGGAGTCTTCTCCAGCACCAGNAGAAAGAAAGAAAGAAAGAAAGAAAGAAAGAAAGAAAGAAAGAAAGAAAGAAAGAAAGAAAGATGACAAACAAGGGGCATCACAATGCAAAACCAAAAGGAAGGTCATGATGCTCGAATGGGATAAGACGACCAGAGTCTTCCTCTACCTGGATGATTCTCCGCGAATGCTCCCCAATGCAAGGCACAGTATGGAGCTGCTGAATCCTGTCAACCCTCCAGGGCAGGGCCTTAAGCACCGAAGCCGCCCTGGAAAAGGCCAAGCTGCGACCCTCACTGCCATTGAATTTCGCCTCTTCCGCCATAGTTTCGAGGGCCTCCTAGAAAAAGGCAGAACATGGACACCTGGAGAGACTTTGGTCTAGACCAAGTCCAAGCCCTCCAAAGAGGCGGGTTGCTTGGGGGGGGGGCATGACCAGGGTGTGTGTCCTACTCGGACTCCTGCATCACAGCAGGGGAGGGGGCGTTTTTGCCATCCCCAGGCTCCAGAGGCTTTCCTTGATCCCCGGGAGGTAGAGCTAGAGGAGCTAGAGGATTCTGGGAACTGAAGTCCACACCTCTCTAAATGGCAGAGATTGACTGGTCTAGAGGAAGTCACCTTACCGTGAGTGTGGAGTTGTGGTGCAGCAGGGGAGTCCGTCTCTGGCAGATGTAGGGGGCCACCTGGCCTTTTTCTTCTGGTGGCTCTATAGGAGTGGCCACCTGGGCAAAAAGAAAGAGGTGAGACACTTCAGAAGTGTCCAAGTCATCCTTAATTAATTTTGCTCTGATTCACATGCAAGCAAAGTCTCAGAAACCATGGGGAAGGAAGGACAGACGGACGGACGGACAGAAGGAAGGAAGGAAGGAAGGAAGGAAGGAAAAAGAAAGAAGGAAAGAAAGATAAGGGAAAAAAGGAAGAAAGGAAAGAAGGAAAAAGAAAGAAGGAAGGAAGGATAGAAAAAGAAATAAAGAAGATAGGAAGGAAAGAAAGAAGGAAGGAAGGAAGAATGGGGAAAGAAAGAAGGAAGGAATGAAAAAAGAAAGAGAAAGAAGGAAGGAAAAAGAAAGAAGGAAAAAGATGGAAGGATGGATGGATGGAAGGAAGGAAAGAAAGAAAGGGAGGGAGGGAAGAAGGGAGGGAAACAGAAAGATAGGAAAGGATAGGGAAGGGAAAAGGGACAAGGAAAGGAAAGGAAGGAAGGAAGGAGAGCAAAGCAAAGGCAGGAAGCATAGATGGAGAGTAGGAAAGAGGGAGTGAAGGAGGGAGGAAGACTTAAGACCAACTTAAGACCTGAAGGACGCAGGTTGAGCAGAGCAAGGTGAAAGGCATACAGATGAAAAGCTCCAGCCTTGTTCTTAAAGACAACCCCAAAGTGCCACCTGTAAGGATGCTTTCGTACCTTCAGCCGATGCCTGGGTTCAATCTCAACGGGCCGACTGGCACCCATGCTCTCCGTGAACCAGCTGAAGTCCAGCAGAGCTGGCTCATCTCCTACACCTGCTTTGCCAGGTGGCCTTCCATTCTTCTTCAGCCACTCAACCACCTCATCTCCAGAATTGCCTTCGGACACAACGTGCGTCACTTTCTCACTAGGACCAAAAGCAAAGATGTATGAAGCTGGGCTCAATCACAGATTGAACCTTAGATGGCATCACCTGTCTCAGGGGCACCTGTGGCGGCCCAAGTTCTCTGCCAGTAAAAATGGGCACCCGAGCTAGAATTGTATTTGCACAAAACTGGAAAACAGACAAAATCCCGTCAGAAGGGGAGATAATAAAATAATAAAAATAGTCTGAGGGTGGTGGTTAAAAATACAATTACTATATATGTATACTTTTTTCTCTTTTAAAAAAGGAGGAGGAAAATATATGTTAAAATTAAATATGTATATTGAAAAGGAATTATAAATACCATCAACATAAAATGGAGCTTGCTCAGAAGCTGAAATACACCAAGTAAATTAGATGAAAAGTGGGAAGTAGAGAAGGGAAGAAAAGAAGGCTAGGAGAGNAGGAAGAAATTCATACAGGATTGGCATTTCCAAAAATCAAAGCAAAACCATCATTTTGCTGCTAGCATTTTCCTGGACTTCTTTGCTGCAATTTCTTAAGGAAATCAAATCGGGGTTCATTCTTAAGACTAGAAAATGGGTTTCACTCCGTTTTCAATCCTGGCTATTCACTGGGTGAATTATAGCCAAGACATCCCACTTTACATTTAAAAAAACCCCAGTAAACGATCATCCAAACCCACAGGCTCCAATTCATCTCTCTCTCTAGGCTGGTCAAGGGACTTAGCAGCAGGCTGAATCCAAGGAGAAGTTCTTAAAACCTCTTGAATAATTTTCACAAAAATAAAATTGAAGGACGGGACCCCTCTAAAGTCAGCGGGTGTGTGTGTGTGTGTGTGGGTTTCACTAAATGTAGAAGTACATTTCCTGAACTACAGAATGTAAAATATTCAGTGGGAATCGTGTTTTTTTTTACCTGGGGATTGAAATTTCAGTATATATCTTGACCCGAGAGTACACTGTGGACTAGAAACTTGCACTGGCACCCCAAAACCTAAGGAAGCTAAACTTCTCCCGAAACCAGCAGTGCACTCATAATTCAGGCAGTGAACCTCTGACAATAGGAATGCATGAAATGCCACGTCCCAAATTCCATGCCATGCTCTCCCCCCATCTAGGGGTAGCCATTGGCTGCACCTTCATTGTCCGGTATCTCTCCGATTGTCTGACTTTCTCCACCTCTGCAGAGATCCCATCTTCCAGCATTTCCTGTTGAGAAGGAACACACACAATACAGGTAGTCCTTGACTCACAACCACAATGGAGTCCAACTGTTGCTAAGTGAGACAGTTGTAAAGTGAGTTTGGCCCCATTTTACGATGTTCTTGCTACAGTGGTTAAGTGAATCACTGCAGGTGTTAAATTAGTAACACAGTTGGGAAGTGAATCTGGCTTTCCCATGGAGGAGGAGGAGGAAGAGGAGGAGGGTGAGGAGGAGTATGAGGGTGAGAAGGAGGGTGAGGAGTATGAGGGTGAGGAGGAAGAGGAGCAGGAGGAGGAGCAGTAGGGTGAGGAGAAGGAGGGTGAGGAATATGAAGGCAAGGAAGAGTATGAGGGTGAGAAAGAGGGAAAGGGGGAAGGGAGGGAGGAAGGAAGGGCGATAGAAAGAGAAAGAAAGAAAGAAAGAAAGAAAGAAAGAAAGAAAGAAAGAAAGAAAGAAAGAAAGAAAGAAAG